AGAAGTAGGAGATGCTTGTACCAAACTCTGTGGCCTGGGTGGGCCTAAAGGCCTGCAAATGGCCACATCCAGGGTGGGGTAAAGTCAAGGGCCCTGCTGTCCCGAGGGTCACAGTACAGGTGCTTTTATATGTTGCCTTTGTGCTGGTAGAAGGCAACTGCTAAAGGAACAGCACCAGGGAACCATTCTTGAAGCGACAAGGCTGTAAAAAGTGCCAGGATCTATGGGCCTGGTTTTGTTAAGTGCTCCAGTTTCTAGAAAACGAAGTGTTGTGGCTCAGGTCAGCCTGGAAACAATCGCCCCTCTATGTGGAATTCCCTTCCAACAGCAGTGTATCTGGTACCTTGTGTAGCTTTTGTCATACACCGAAGACACACTTCTTTGACACCTAAGGACCCACCCAATTAACTGTAATTTAACTTTTTAATATTGTATTTTTAAATAGTCATAACTCTCCTTTTCACCCTCATGGTGAAGGGCAGGTAAAAAATATAATTGATGTTTATGATAATGGAGTACTGAATTTATAAGGGGGGAAACACACACTTCATCTGCTTGGGGAAACTTCCCTCTACGTTTGCTTTGAGGGTGTTTGAGGATTGAGAGCTGGTACAGTCTTTGGGGCCTAAGTCCAGGGCTGCACACCTCAAGGATCCCCAAATGACCACCCAGAGACCACTTGATAATGGAGACAGCGGCAAACAGGCCTTTCATCGGCACATGGGTGGGCTGGGCCCAACAGGGCTGATGCCGGTCACTGCAGGATCCTTCCTTATTTCGAAAAACACTCAATAGTCTAGTTAGGCTTTTCTACAACAAAGGTGCTTGTTTTGTTAAATGTGTTTAATACCAGGGCAGTGAACGTTTACTCCATTTTATTCCTGCAGTTATGATGGCGCTGTGATCTAAGTGAGTTTAAAATGCAAAATGGAGCATTTCTTTCTTCTTTTTATTCAGAGTTGTCAAACTTGCTTTTGTCTTTGCTGTCACATATCAGGAATGTAGAAGTAGCTGTAAATCATGGAATGGCAGTAGCAAGGGGAGAAGAGAAATGTTAATTGTGTGCTTCGCAGCTGAAGTAATACACATGGCTGTAAGACCCCTGTCTACTACAGGACATAGAAGATTAAGATTAAACCTTACACTTAAATACCCTGGGAACTGAGCATTGCCCAGTAAGACTGGACCTGTTTTTCTTTCAAAAGAAGTATGAAATCAAATAAGATAACCAAATTGTTTGTATTGAGTTAATTTACAAAGCTCTGCTGGAATGTTGCATTCCACTAAGAATTTAAAAGATCCACGAAATAAACTGTGAAAGTAAGGTACCTATGCAATCCTGCAACTAGTTAGTTGCGCCCCTTGACTTAAAATGCCTTAGCTTGTGTGTAACTGGATGAATTATATTCCTCACAGTGGTGTTTAAATATAATTCAATTCTTCTGCCTTATTTATTCAATTATTTGGATATTTTTCCAACCTTACCCCAGAGGCTCAGATCTGGCAAAAAGGCCAGCCTCCCAGTAATAGACTTGCGAGCCTAGCAAGTGCATGAAGAAAAGATTTCCGTTGCCACATTCATAAATGTCGGTCGGTGACAAATGGTTTTCCCTATCTTTGTATGCAGTATGTTGAACAGCCTTATTTATGCATGTATGGAGGATAGATAGCATGGTGGAGCTAACAAACAGTTGGAATGAGATGTTTGTGTATTTGTGAATCCTGTTCAGCACCTGTGCCGCTACGTACTTCTAGATACGTTACAAGGCTGTAGACTACTGTAGCTAGAAGTGTTATTGGTTAAACATTTATTAATTGTGACAAGAACACCCAATTTATTTCAGCGCTCTGGCTTATTTACTGCTCTTTCACCTTTGTATTTTGTATTGAAAAAGTAAAATGAATATTGATAGAGTTAGCTATTGATTTCTAAATTTATAGCCTGTTCTCAGCCTTGAGACAAAGTCACATACCAATAGCGCCGTGTGTATTAGTAACAAAGGATGTAGATTTACTCTTACAGCAATGAAAAACTGTTGAAGCAAGAAACTTTTAGCAGTGGAGAGCATTTTATAGTTTGAAAAATGTCATCTGTAAAGGTGAACTAAAGCGGTGAAGAAAATAAGGTGAATTCTATCAGATAATTCCAGTCAACAGCTGAAGTAATAGGGTCCTAATCTGTATTTTTTTTTCTCTCGAAAGAGGAAACGTTTGACTTTATAGTCTGTGCTAAAGCTCCTTTTTTAACATTGCAGCAAGAAACCAGGAAGGGTGTACCACCTGAAACAAAAGATGCTTCTCCTCATATATTGCCTACAGTTTACATACAGCCTTTTAAAAATGACAAAGAATGGTTGGAATATGTTGTTCCTCTTAGGGCAGCCATGAATTTATTTCAGGAAATAAATACCTGAAGGAATTGATGACTAGTGAAGCAATATAATATCTGACATGGGAGCATGTCATTCTGAATGCCTTTGTCGGCTTGCTAAACACCTGAACTGTAATACTATTTCGTATGAGTCCTTAAGAGGCTTTATGGCAAAAACAGAGTGCCCTTGAGTTTGCGTGGATATGCATGCACCTGGGCACACACTCACAAAACAAGTGCTTTCATTGTTGATTCCTGATTCCTTGGAAAGTGACTAGGAAAGTAGGGCTCTAGCATTTCCAATTCCAGCATCCAATAGAGTCATTTTTGCCCCCTGAGCAAAGTATAGGTAGCAAAACAATGGGCAAGGGACACTCCACTCCTACTGCATTAACTGGTTTTACGTACTATATAAACACACACTATCAAAGAGGCTACAGATATGTTGGAGAACAAAACTTAACTGCAGTACCCTCAGGTAATCCTGTGTCTCTGAGACCACAGAGTCACCCAGAAGGTTCTCCATTGGTGTAAGGCTTGAAGTCTGATTTCTGTAACTGTCTGTCTTCTGTTCTTCCCTGGAACTGAAACCAGTTGTGTCCATCTCCTGGTTTGTTTCCCCTCTATGTCTCAGCAGAACAACACCAAAGGTTTAGCACTTTCTCATCACACATCCATCATCTTCTCCCTTCTCCACACCCCTGGCTTTCTGTACTTTCTTCTCTGTACTGTCCCCCACAGTTCGATTGTTAACTTGTGGAAACTTTGGGCAATATCTCCTCCTCTTCCTACCCAACAAAGAAAATACAAAAATGTGAGGTTTACATAGAAGAGAATGCTCTGGCACTAAAAGTACAGGAAAGCTTTTCTTGGCCTTTTGCTTTTGGAGTTGCCTTTTTAAATTGCTGTATAACTTTAAGCCACTTCACACATTGCATACATTCCAGGTAGCAAGTTCTTGTATAGGAGAATAATGAAACACCACCAGTTTTCATGGTGATGTTCACACATGCGCATGTACAAAGTGAAATTAGAACAAGCAAAAACAGCAGAGGCTTGCTTTAAACATTTCACATGTTTAATGTGAATGCTGGCATATAACGGTAGCTCAAGGTAGTAGATAATCTTTGATGAAAAATAAATGCTTCAATATTTTGTCTGGGTTAGTTGGCTACATGTTGTGTTTCAGGCTGATGCACTTTGGAATGACTTGAGTTATCAACTCTATTTTTTTATAAGAATGTGTTTTAATGAAAAATCTGACAGATTCTCTATTATGGTATGTAATATCAAGTACTGCTATAAGGTCATCATGACTCTGTTTAACAAGGTAATCAAAAGGCTAAATGTTTTCATTCCGCTTAAAAATTGCCAGCAAAACTATTTTGCTGACGTCTAATGCAGCAGTGATTAAAAATCAGACTTGAATATGAGCAGTGCCAAAATGATGATTTGAAACTACTGTGATTATACTATTCCAACAGAGGTTACCCAGGCCTGGCTTGTGGTGAAGGTCAACCTTCTGATCTGTTTATAGAAAAAGGACAGATTTGGGTTAGCTAGATAAGCTGGGGTAAATTTCCAATGCATTGAGCATGAAAGGTTGCTTCCAGTTTTTCTATTGTATAACAAGCTTGCATATTGTCCCTGTTAACACCAAATGGTTCTGCTGGCATTGTATGATCGGTCCAATTAAAGATTCTATCAAAGAGAACAACCAGCAAAAATGCCTATAACCAGTACTTTTTCACACAGCCCATAGTTAAACTATGGACCACCAACTTGGAGGTTTTAACAGAGGATTAGACGAATTTGAGGAGGATAAGACTATCAGTGGCTAGTAGTATTGCAATTTTATGTTGTGAACCGCCCTGAGATCTGCAGATGAAGAGCGGTATACACATTTAATAAATAATAATTATAATACCTTCACTGGCAGAGGCAGTTTGCTTCCCAAAATCAGTTGCTGGTAATCACATGTGGGGAAAGGGCTGTTGTGCTTAGTTTCTGCTTGGAGGTTTCCAATGGGCATCTGGTCGGCCGCTGTGAGAACAGGCTGTTGGACTAGATGGACCTTTGCCTTATCCAGTAGGCTCTTCCTATGTACTTCAGAAATATGGTATCCTGAATAGGCTTGTTGTTGTTTAGTCGTTCAGTCGTTTCCGACTCTTCGTGACCCCATGGACCAGAGCACACCAAGCACTCCTGTCTTCCACTGCCTCCCACAGTTTGGTCAAACTCATGCTGGTAGCTTCGAGAACACTGTCCAACCATCTCGTCCTCTGTCGTCCCCTTCTCCTTGTGCTTCTTTCCCAATATCAGGGTCTTTTCCAGGGAGTCTTCTCTTCTCATGAGGTGGCCAAAGTATTGGAGCCTCAGCTTCAGGATCTGTCCTTCCAGGGAGCGCTCAGGGCTGATTTCCTTAAGAATGGAGAGGTTTGATCTTCTTGCAGTCCACGGGACTCTCAAGAGTCTCCTCTAACACCATAATTCAAAAGCATCAATTCTTCGGCAATCAGCCTTCTTTATGGTCCAGCTCTCATCTTTGAGAGCTGGACCATAAATATGAACAGGCTTAGCTGCTGTTTTTATCTGTGAGCCGCCTCTAGTCCTGTCAGGTGAAAAGGTGGGTTCAATAGCTCAGTAGCTAAACATGAGACTCTTAATCTCAGGGTTGTGGGTTCAAGCCTCATGTTGGGCATAGAGATTCCTGTATTGCAGGGAGTTAGACTAGATGATCCTTGTGGTCCCTTTCCAACACCACAATTCTGCGATAAGCCCCAGTACACAGTGCTGTATCATGAATATGCAGCACCAGCCTTGTAAACCCCACTCTTCCCAAAGTGCTTCTTAAAAGCTGCTCATGGGAAGAAGTCAGAAATGCTCTTTAGAGAGGATTGAGAAGATGCTAGCAGAAGATAAAGGGAGTGAATGCATGAAGGTGCCTTATAGCAAGTCAGGCCATTGTTTTATCTGGCCCAGTGTTGACTGCGTCTCGAATATCTCAGGCAGAGGTTGTTTCCAGCTTTACTACCTGATCTTTGCCGGGGGGGGGGGGTTCTGCTTACGAAGTACTGTATTTTTTGCTCCATAGGGTGCACTGGACCATAGGGTGCACCTAGTTTTTAGACGGGGAAATCAATAAAAAAAAATCTCTCCCCCCCAGCCCCAAAGAGCAGCATACAGGCTGCCGGAGGGGTTGCGCGCGGCTGTGGAACAAGCTTTGGCTTCCTCTTTAGCCCCGCGCAATCTCTCCCTGCTGGGAGAGGCTGTGTGGGGCTAAAGAAGCCATAGCCCCGTGCAGCCTCTCCCTGCCGGAGGGGTTGCGCACGGCTATGGCACAAGCCTGCATTTGCTCCATAGGATGCACACACATTTCCCCTCAATTTTTGGAGGGGAAAAACTGCGTCCAATAGAGCGAAAAATACGGTATGTGCTCTGCCACTTGAATTGTGGCCATACCCTGAGGAGAACCGGGTGCAAACCCTTCCTTTTGCTTAAAGGTGCTATTTAGGTCTGACCATTGACTTTGCATTGAAACATACAGATTAGCATTCAAACAAAAGGTCTCAGCATTCACTTTCTAGGCGTGCAGATGGCGAAGCAGAGCATACAGTCCATATAGCAGCGTTGGTGTGATTGCATGTTGCCCACTTCAAGCCTCATGGGCCTAACTCTCCCTTACTGAAGTTCCACTGAGCAAAAGGCTTCACACCTGTGGAAACCATCCCAGCAGGCATGTGAGCGTCTCTGTATACCAACAATCTGAATACCACAAAAGAGGCCATTTGTGTCAACGCAAAAGCATTGAGCTGCATTATGCCTCAATACTGTGCAAGTTCAGCATAGTTAACTGGATTACTTTGGTTTAGTTTGGTTACTGGTAGTGATTTTTGTATCTATATAAACATTAGCTTTTTTTTAAAAAAAAAGAATTATTCTCACTGATTTATTTGCTCTAGGGGAACCCTTAGGAAAAAATCATGGATCAAGACGGCTTGTGGTTTCGAGAGCAGCACTGTTACAGCACATCTTTCCTGCATCAAGCGGTTTCAGACCTTTACATTTTGCAGGCTGGTTTAGCAGCCACAAATAGAGAAGTGAAAGGAATACTCTGAATATTAAATGCCTTCAGAGAACAGGGGGAAAGGTGCACTAGGTTATAAAGCGAAGCAGCATGTATCTCCCTGTTTTCCATTGGCTGTTTATCCAACATCAATACAACACTTTAGGAGCCAAATTACTAAACAAGCTGCCAATTAGGCTTGCAGTCAGCTGGATAGATTAGTGGCTAAGAGAGGCAGATACAAGATTTTCATCTCTTGAGCCAATTACTCAAGTGAATTACCATCCACGGTGCTCCTTGGGAATTTAAGGTAGAAAAGACTGACTCTGCTGCGATAGTGAGATCCAGGATAGGGGGTCAGGGTTATCAGGCCACGTAGTGTAAAAATTGCCCAAGCAAAAAAGAGATCCTTCTTGGAAAGGACTTAAAGGATTTAGGGCTGCCAGGAGTGCTGGAAAAGAAAATAATAGTTGTGGGGTGTCCTGCTGCAGCAAACTTGTTAAATTCTCATGTGTTAATCTTATAAAAGGGAAGAGAGAACCAAGACGGCCTCAGTTTTAGCAAAAAAAAATTAAAAAATATCTTCAATATGAAATAGTGCCTTCTTAGGAAATGATCAGACTGCTCCACTTTTACATGCAGATATTACATTGTGTTTAATCCAAAATCATTTAATTGGAACTATTTGGAGAGTCCTACGCAGATACATTTCCATGTCATGTTTTATTTCTAAACCACTTACGTTTCATACGTGGTGATTCCAGGCCCAAAATTGAGTGCTGCACTGTTTAGGCTGCAGTCCTATGCATACTGAATAGCACCACTGAGCACAATGGGATTTACTTCTGAGTAGACATCCAAGGGATTGCTTTATGATGGTACAATCCTGTGCATATCTGCTCAGAAGTAAGTTTCACTGAGTTCAGTGAGACTGACTGTGAGGTAAGATTAAGAATAAAGTGGTTTTTAAGAGACTAAAATGCTCCTAGTTAATTGGAAATAATTTATTTTAAAATGGTAATTTATTATTAATACTTTTAGTACTTAATATTTTTAAGTACTTCAAAAAGTGTAGATTTTAATTGTCATATGAGAACAGACAATCTCTTTTCTCTCACACACAGGAGGGAACACTTCTAATATGCCTGCTTTGACACATACAGACATCATCTAAAAAGAGAACATTTTTCTTCTACAACTAATTGTTTTATTCATGTATCATTTTATTCAGATTTAATGCATTCAGTGATTTAAAATAAATGAATGTATTATATTAATCAAACAAGAGTTCATACATCAATAGATAGACCTCCCCCACAAAAAATATAATGTTAAAAATAGAATGTACAGGTCAACCACAGATAAAACTTCCACCACTAAGCATCTGCATAAATAAAGAGATCTGATTTCCTCCCCCTAAAAGATGCTCTAGTCTCAATCAGTATTTGTGCTCCATCAGAATGGCATTTTGCCCATGTCTATGTATCTTAAACGTATTCTGTGTGGCATTTTTTTCTAAGTAGTGTGCTTCTCGGTTTCTGTTAACATAGCTGCTGTTTTTTGGCTTATCAAAAGCAGCACATTCCAACAGAGTTCACTGGGACTTACATCTTGGTAAGTATACCTGGATTTGCAACATTAAACTCATGTTAAAGGGGAAGTGACATCAGTTTTCTTATGAGCCTGAACAGGAAATAATGTGTTTCAGTCACAGTGCTAGCAATTAATGTTCACACAGATTAAGCAAGAAATTGTTTATTTAATCAAGGCCACTTCTGGTATTGTTTTTTGGTTTTTTAAAAAACCTCTATAAAAATAAAGTTCGAAAGGTACCAAAGGAAAAGCTGCAAGATGTGCGTGTTAAAATATAGGCAAAGTTTCTGCGGTTCTTTTGTGTTTTGAGAGCCCTACTGAAATTCTTAAGCAAATGTAAAACCTGAACTTCGGCAAGCTGTTGTATCCCAAAATGATTAAACAGATGTGAAGCCTGCAGCAGCATTAGACCTCTGATCTGATTTTTAGCTTACAGATGGAATTAAATTAATTCATGGCAATCCCTGTAAAATCAAGGGTATGGCACTGAATGCTAGTGCTCTGCTTAACCAGAATGTACCTGTTCCAACAGCTGTTGAGAAAAATTACATGGCTTAATTTTCATAGAAATCTACCTTTAATGACATCATAAATATTATTTTGAAATAAAAATTTAATTGCAAGGTTTGTTTTTTCTCTCTTTTTTTTTCAAAGGAGTGTCTTGATTTACTATATACAAACTTTATTGCCCTTTTTCTTTTATGGGCTTTATATTAAGTCTCTAAAACATTTACATGCATAAGGACTATCTCCAGGAATTGTGAAAATATGCACTGGTAGAACTACATGACTGTACATTTTGGCTTACTGTGATTTCCCGGGAATTTCTGAAGCTTTTGCTCTACCAATGAAAGTCACCGGCCAAGCAAGTGTGTTCCGTTTACTGTGTTTGTGGCAACAACTGCAGTGAGCTGCCCACTGACACTGTTTGTTCTGGTAGCAATCAGACATTGCAGTCCTTAAACAGCAGAAAAAGCATTGTGCCACTGGTGCAGCAGCCTATTATTAATGAGCAGTATTAACTCTGGTCTTGCAGAGATTGTCACGAAGTCTTTCCTGCTGAAACAGTTGGAGATTCTCTGCCTTTCTCAAGCTGTTTGCATAGCTACTTTTCTTATAGATGGGAAAAAACTGCTACTGTATTTATAATCCTTAACATGGTTAGAAAGTTGCCCCCAATTGTTTCTGGGGCCACTTGCTAGAAACAGCCCCTTGGGAAGTTAATTCTTTTAATTGTGATGTTCCAAGTAGTTGCTTTAATTAGTCGATAAATATAAAGTACAGTAAAAGTAGTTTTTAGTTCCTTACCTTTCAACCAATGAGCACCAATAAATTTTGCATGTGGTTGTTCTCTCTCTGTTTTAGGTGACACAGGAAAAACTGCAAGAAATAAGGTTACAGTAATTGTTGCCTCAAATAGAAGGCAATGTTCAAAATAAGCCAATTAGAACGCCTGCAATTTGCTAAATCACTACAGAAAGTCATTCTCAAATTGAGGCTTCAGAGTTTTCCACAAACAATGAAATATTGCATACAGCTTGCCTTTTTTTAAAAAAAGGCAAACTTAAAAAGGCCTAGTGCAGATGGAATTCTGCCCTATCACCAGAACATAGTTTGGTGATTATGAACAACACACCAAGTACAAGGTGCTTCTCCAAGTCCCTTCTCTCACTTAAACATTTGTCTCCTTCCTTTTAAATGTTGACACAGCATTATGTCCAAACTGGTAACCATTGTGTCAAACCATAGTTTGCAAACCTGTTTGTGACCATCAGTTACAAAATGATCTGGTGCTAACAATGATTTGGTGCCGTCAGACATAGTACACTGACCAAAACTGAAGTGGGAATGCCCACATGAGCGAAGTGGAGCACATGAGCCCATGCGATGCTCCCAAACACCAAACAGTGAATACCAAACAATAAGGCAACATTCCCTCTGCACTTGTGCTACAAGGGGTGGCAGTGGTTAAGTGTGGTGTAGTGATTAAGAGCGGTGGACTCGTAATCTGGTGAACCGGGTTCACATCCCTGCTCCTCCACA